TAGTAAGACAAATGAATTGGTGCCAAGATAATAATTTATTCTTCTCAGGGAATATATTTCCTATTAACTAGAATCTAAATTGTCTTAACCTGAAGGTACAGTCTAGTTTGGAAATCTAGGGAAGGTGAGCCACAGGGAAGTCAGTGCTTTGGATTGTCCCACAAGAAGAGTATTTGTGTGGGGAGGTGAAGGGGTGGGCGGGGCAGGGAACGGGTGGGGAGGGGCTACTGTAACCGGCTGCCTCACCCATGGGATCATCCAGTATCCTTTCTCATGAATCATGTACAAACAGAATCATTCAGTGCTTAACTTACATATGCCCCAAAGGTGAGTAACACCAGAAGAGTTAGTCATTAATATACATTTTAGGTTTTTGTCACAAGAGCACAGGTAGCCAAAATTTAGAAGTTAAATCTGACCTTTCCTTTCAGCAAGTAGCAGGAACTTCAGAAGAATTCTCCTATCGCTTACACAGTCCGAGGAATGACATATTAAACCAGGGTTCTGATTTGCTCCTTCCGAGCAACCACAATCTCTTGAACATTCCCTTACACATACTAATGTACTCTACTGATAAAATGTGGAACTTGCTTATCAGTGTTAAAATAGCTGAATAAGGAGAGGGTCTGTCCCATGGCTCACAGGGAAAGGGGAGCGCAGGCGTGGAGAGTTATGGCGCTCTTCCTGCTGGCACATGGCAGCTGCTCTTGATTGTGTTCCCATCTTAAAGCTCTTCCATGAATTGTGATCATGATGGCTAGACTGAAAATAACAAAACACAAATTCTATTCCGCTTCCCATTCTCAAAGTAGCAAAGCCCTTCGAACGTAGTATCCCCTTTCAAAACATGCGCCTAGTCCTGGAAATAGAGCGGGGAACACATTGTAAAGTGACCACTATGCCGGACGCCTGAAACCAATACAAAATAATATTGGAAGTAAACTGTAATTAAAAAATAGGAATAAAAAATCTTGAGATTTATAGATTAAAAAATGCACCAATACTCAGCCATTTGTTCCCATGCACTTAGTCACCGCCTGCCAAGTCCTTTCTAAGGAACCACCTGTCAGTTCCCAACACCACGCGCATCCGCACCTCCTGAGAGGAAGTTTCTGTTGATAAGATTTCATTCTCTGTCCATTTACAGTCAGAGAGCACAGATTTCATGGGATTTTCTAGCAATTTTTACTTTGCTGAACAGAAATTCATCTGAAATTCCAAACTTAAGAAATGACTAACTCAAGCCAGTAGACCGCCAGGCTGCTGGGCCTGGGAGCCTCTGCCCCGTCTTCTGCTGCTTCCTTGGCCCTGCTCCTGGCCAGGAAGCACACTTGGCTCTCATCTTGCGTTACATGTCACAATGCTGCCACTGATGGCAGTCACGTAATGATGTGTGTTGTTTACTGCTTTCACAATGTGCTAGTAAAATCCAGTGAGCAACTTAATCATTGGGGGACATAAATAGACAATTAGAGACTCAGTACCAGCATAAGCTACACATTTGGCCAGTAACTAAAACTCATCCATTGGCCAATGGGCAGGTGACTGCAGCTCCCAGAGCAACCTGAGGGAGTTCCCTTTGTTAGGCAGGGTCAGTCTGTGCTATTTATTTTCTAACATCCAAATGTACAATCAGGGAAAATGCATGCAAAGAGGCCAGAAAATTCAAATATGAGAAGGGGAAAAATTATCTTGAATGTAACATCAGAAGCATTAAGGTAGCTTGAAATCATCACCAAATTGTTGAAGTGAGTCTATTGGCTAAAACTTCAGGAACTGTTACTTATAAAAATGAAAACAGAGAGACAGAGAAAGATAAGAAGATAATAAAATATTTTTGTATCAGAATTCTTTCAGCATCTTTAAGTATTATTATGGTTTTGTGCACTGTATTCTTTTACGATTGTATGTACTTAAATTATATATCCCTCTTTACAATGTTTATTAAATTCTTACCTGTTTTCTTTTTGGAGAGGAAGATGTCTATGTTTTGTTTTTTAAATAAAAACTAGTAAGAAAAATCAAATTCACTTAGAAATTTGGGAGAAAAAAAATCTACCTTTAGGAAAGATATTTATATTATCACTGAGATCTTCAACTCCTTAGCTACTTGTTTTAGTTTATCTTCCTTTCCCCTGCAAAATTTATAAACTGAAATGCACATTTCTATAGCTATTTTATATGAGAGGAAGACCTGCTTTTACAGAGGACTTTTTTAGGAGTGAGGAGAGAAGTGAAGTGGGGAGAAATGACGTACTCTAACTCCTGAGCTGACGTGAAACAGGATGACGAAGCAGCCAGAGGCCAAAATGGTACCAGACAATATGGGGCTGGCAAGTTGGGTTGGTTAGGTTGGGTCACCTGCTACCACTAATATGCTCTGTCACAGAGCAATAGTACTTCTTCCCTCCGTGTGTCCCCTTCCCTTGCCTATTTATTTGCAAGATCAGTTCAGCTCCAGAAAACACGATGAAATGTACTCAGAAGCCAAGGTCAGATGGGGTGGAGGTACCCTTCAGTACTGACAGCCTAGATGTAGACAGATCAAAAGCTAAATCCAATTTAACCCACCCCAGGCAGGGAAAGTAATTGAATTAAACATCCTCTAAATATGATAAGTTTGGGGGTTTTAAAACCAGGCATAAAGAGCCAGGTTACAGTAGATGGATGTGGAGCTCTGGCCGCCCCGCCCACAGGGAGTTTGATGAGCTGCTGCTTTGCCTCGGTCACTTGACTACTGAGGCTGAAAACTGATTAAGCTGCTTATGGGGCTGGGGAGGGGGGTCTGGTCCACCGAGATTTAAGTAAGCTGCCTGGCATGTGTGGTTTGATTATTACAAGGAAAAGATAAGGGTGGTGGGAGTGGGGGTGGGGAGACAGCAGGGTACAGGGAAGTTTTTTAAAAAGTAGGTTTTATTATGTCAGAGAGATATACTACTTTGACACTCTAAAATAAATATGGAATTACTCTGATTCTTTCTGTTAATCTGGCATCAAAACTCATTTATGAAAGGCTTCCTCAAAGAGGACTTTGGAGCCCAGCAGTTCTATTTTCAGCTGTTTTTATGAGAATACGTTTAAACGTACTTCTCAAGTGACAGCCTGGTCCTCAGACACCAGGACCATCAGGTAGAGTTCTAGAAACAGATAAATGAATAACGGGTATTTTCATCGGTGTTTCCCCTTGAACGCCACTGGACAATCATGAATAAAAACGGATCCCTGCCTGGCCAGGCGGCTCGTGTGGCTGGAGAGTGGACCTCTGTACCAAAGGCTGCGGGTCTGACTCCCAGTCAGGGCACACCCCCAGGTTTCGGGTACAGTCCCCAGTCAGGGTGTGTGCAGGAGACAACCAACCGATGTTTCGCTCTTTCTCTAAAATCAATAAAAACATATTCTCAGGGGAGGATTTAAAAATAATGATAATCAATGAATACAAATAAAAGCAGAGCCGCTTGCACTCCAGCCAGCAGAGGGCTGCAGCTGGGCCTCGCAGTGATGGCGGCAGGACTGAGGGATGGACGGAGCTGACAGGCACAGGTAGGTGTGAACTCGATGAACATGGAAATTAAAGCTCTAGTCTTCTCTCAGACCTGTCCAACCGAATGCTCTGAAACTATTTCTACCATTTAAAACAAATTTCTTACCTCTGGGGGACAAAGAGAACACAAAAGTCTTAAGTTTAAACTAGTTTTAAGATTTTTTTTTAAGTCTTGAAAAATGACTGAAGGATCTGTATAGTTCTCTCGTTGACCTCATTTTTTCTGGGCAAAACAACCCGAGAGGAAAACAACAAACAAAAGAACAAAATCCCAGCAATTGGAGATGTTCTGGAAGTTGTTACGGTTATTTTTTTAAATTAACTCTTGAAGAATCAATAGCTATGCCTTCATTTAGTGTCTTAGGAAGAGAGCTGCTGAGTGAAATGATTAACCAAAGCTTGACATATTCAGAACTCTGGGCTGAACAGACAAATGTTAGTTTTCTTTCTGGCTGCTAACCTGTCAATCATTAAAAGGACATAATATATACTTAAAATATAAAAAGACGATTTTGACTCGTATATGCTTTGTTATGTTTCATTAAAATTTAAGGTTGTCCAACTGTTTGGCTTGAGCACAAAGAGTTTAATAGTCACTGCTTTTATATCTTTTTTTCCTTGTATAATTTTTTTTTTTACTGAGATATAATTCACATACCATAAGACTTACTCTTTTAAAGTATACAGCTCAGTGGTCTTTAGCACATTCACAAAGTTGTGCAACCATCACCACTATGTAATTCCAGAACATTTTCCACATTCCCAAAGGAAACCCCGGACCATTAGCAGTCACTCCTCATTCCCTCTTCTCCCCAGGCCCTGGCAACCACTCATCTACTTTCTCTCTCCGTGGATTTGCCTGTTTTGGACTTTTCATTTAAATAGATCATAAAATATGTATTCTTTTCTGTCTGGTTTCTTTCAGCGTGATGTCTTCTAGGTGCGTTCATGTTGTAGCATGTATCATACTAGACGCCTTTTTACGGCCAAATAATATTCCATTGTATGGATATACAACACTGTGTTTGTTCATCAGTTGATGAATACTATTTGGGTTGTTTCTACTCTTTGGTTATTATGAATATGTGTGTACAAGTGTTGAAGTGAACATATGTTTTCGATTCTGTTGGTATATATGTAGGAATGGAATTGATGGGTCATATGGTAACTGTTTAATTCTTTGAGGGCCCGCCAGACTGTTTTCCAGTGGCTGCACCACTTTACATTCCCACCAGCAGTGTGTGAGAGTTCCAATTTCTCTACATCCTTGCCAACATTTGTTATTGTCCTGGAATATCTTTTTATACTAAGTTTACTTTTTCCATTATGAATAGAAATTAATCGATTACCAGGGCTTGCAAAGAAAATGACCCCAATGGTCTTGTGCCAAGACCACAATCAACAAAGGGCACCTCTCCAGGGAGAAAACAGAAATGAAATGGCCCCTCCGAGTACTTACCTGCTGCAGATCGGCGAGGGAATACAGGTGGATCTGTTGAAGGAGGTATTCTCTGGGGAAAATTCTGAAAGCAAGGACAGAAACACACATGAACTGTGGTGCTTCCACCAATGCACTTTTCCTGATACGTTTCCAAGTCTCGTTCAGGCTCCCTTGCACCTGCCTTCTCCCCTTTCCACCTATACTCCTCTTCACACCCTCCCAAGAAATCTGTAATACCTTTTTGCAGATCTTTTTCTTCCTAACACAGAGAGCAAGAGTTGACCTTGATTTCTGATGTCATCTGAGGTGCTGTAAAAACCTCAGTGGTCCAGGCCTGAGGGCCGGAGCACCGGGCTCCTTTACCAGCTGTGTCCCTAACAAGCTGGGTCATCTCAGGCAGGTCGCAAAACGTTCTTCAGCTTCTTCACTGTTGAATGAAGTAGACTGAACTCCATTCTCTAAATATCTTTCCAGCCCCATTATTCTATGTCTAAATTAATAGATTTTGGAGTTGAGAAAATCACTGAAGGGCCAACCCCTGTGTCTTCTGTCTAGAGGCTCCAATGGGTTTCTTTAGTAGGGACAGTAGTGCTCAACAGCATATCAGTGAGCTATCTTCTTACATGTATAGTGGTGATAAGTTTTAGAACCTAGGTACAAATGGCAATAACGGGACAAAGTAGTTCAAATTGGGACTCCCTGAGAAAGTCCGATATCTCTGGCTGCTGTCAATTCATAGCATCTGAATAAATGACAGTGAGTGAACTTAAAACAATAGATTATGGACAAGGAGACAGGTACCAAAGTATAGATGGTTAGAAAACACCACACACACACACACACACACACACACACACACACACATACTCATGGTTCTAGCATTTTCTCTGTCTTATATGGTACTATGCAATTTTCTTGTGTCCTATGAAAAAAACCACCAATTTATTCAATTAACATTTATGACTACCCATCATGTGCCAAGCACTGTGCCAAGCACTAAGAAGACAATCATAGTACCTGAGTTCAAGAAGTATAAAGTCAAGTGAGGGAAAGGTACATAAACTAATCATGTAGTAATACAATGCAGTTATTGAAAGAGAGTTATGCGTGGGGTATTATTTCTGGAATGGTCTAACATGGTGGATCCCAACCCTGGCTGTCTATTACAATCACTTGGGGAGTTTTTAGAAAATAACAGGGCATAATAAGCCTGGGTAGAACCCAGAAATCAGTGTTAAACAAACAAAAACTCTCCTGATAATATGTGTTGCCAAAGTTTACAAGAACTGAACTAATATCCATCCAGCTCACTAGGAAATTCATTATACAGTCTTTCAATTAAGTATATGCATTACTTAACAAATCCTAGAGATTAAATCATTCATCCACCCTTTACCTGGCTTCCCTTAATATTAACATATTATACAACCATGGTACATTGATCAAAACCAAAAAAATGAACTACTATGTAAATTACAGACTTTATTCATATTTCACCAATTATTTCACTAATGTCCTTTTTCTGTTCAAAGATCCAACCCAGAATCTAACATTGCATTTACAGATTTTTAAAAAAATACAGTAGTTCCCCCTACCCAACCTCTGCCCCTCAATCTGTGGTTTTTTAACTTCCTATGGCTTCAGTTACCCAAGGTCTGAAATTATTAAATGCAACATTCCAGAAGTAATTCATAAGTTTTAAACTGTGCACCATTCTAAGTAGCAGTGTGATGCAATCCCACACTGTCCTGCTCCGTCCCACCGGGGATGTAACCACCGCTTCGTCCAGTGTATCCACACTGTACATACTACCCATCCTTTCAGTCATTTAGCAGGCGTCTTGGTTATCCCATTGACTGTGGTGCTATTGCAGCACCTGTGTTCAAATAACCCTTATTCTAGTATTGTGATTGTTCTATTTTATTATTGGCTCTTATTGTTAATCTCTTCCTGTGCCTAATTTATAAATTAAACTATCATAGGTATGTATGTATGTATAAGAAAAAAATAGTATATAGAGTTTGGTGGGGGAAAAAAAAAAAAAAATATATATATATATGCATTCGCAAGAAGACTGGAGACCCAAACACATGTGCAAAAGAGGGAACACAGGAACACAGTCTTCCAGTGGGATTGTGAGGCTGGCCATGTACAATAATCTCATACAGGAGCAGAGTATGTCTGAACACGGTTGAATGGAAGGCATAATCTTTTTCAAAGGTGACTGCTTATTAATGAAATCCTTTAAATCAGGTAAAATGAAAAGAATGTGGCAGCAAGGCTGATAAATGGAGACAGAGTGAACCAAGTGAGTAGGCTGGAAAATCATTTCAGAATTAGTTTCTGTCTCTTCCGTTGTTTGTACTAGGTCAGCTAGAGAAAGAGTTAGAAGGAAGGCAACTGTAGCAGGGACAAATGCAGGGCAGCAGATCTATGATGTTTTTGCTACTTAAAGTTCTTTCTGCTCCAAAATCCCAACATTCTATGACAGAATAGATAGGGTAAAATAATTATTTATAAATTTATAAACCAAATCATAATGGTATTCCCATCCTAGAGTCTATAGCCAGTTTTCCAGTGGACAAACACTGAGGAGTGCTGGAAATCAGCCAGGTGCTGCACAACTGCTGGTGGGTATGTCAGTGAACACAGATGATGAGCAATAAAGACAATAGCCAGTTTTTATTTTATTTTTTATCCTCATTTTCGCATTTATTTTCAGATACAGTGGGAGGAAGAGAGAGAGAGAGAAACATTGATGTGAGAGAGACACATTGACCAGTTGCCACCCACATGACCCCAACCGGGGCTGGGGACGGGGATGAACTGCAACAGAGGTATGTGCCGTTAGTGGGTACCAAACCCAGGATTCTCTGGTTCGTGGGCCAATGCTCTAACCGCTGAGCCAAACTGGCCAGGGTGACAATATCTAGTTTTTAAAAAAGTTTTTATGAAGGTATAATTGACATATACCATTATATTATTCAGGATGGCACAAAAGTTGGTTTACAGTTGCTCACATAGAAAAGAATACAATAATTAAGAAATGATAATACAAGAATGAACAGTTTTGTGTACTCACAACTGTAACCCTACTTTTCCCCCCACTCTGTATTAGTTTCAGGTGCACAACATAATGGTTTGATAGTTGTATACACTGTGAAATAATCACCACTAAAAGTCTCTTTAACATCTGTCACATATGCAGTACACTATTAACTATAGTCACCATGCTGTACATTACATCCCATGACTTATTTATTTTACAACTGGAAGTTTATACCTTTTGACTCCCTTCACCCATCCCCCACAAGCACATCTGGCAACCACCAGTATGTTCTCTGTATCTATGAGTTTGGTTTCTTTATTTTTTGTTTTTCATTTTGTTTCTCAGATTTCACATATAAGTGAGATCATATGGTATTTGTCTTTCTCAGTCTGACTTATTTTACTTAGCATAAACCCCTCAAGATCCATCCATGTTGTTGCAAATGGCAAAATTTCATTCTTTTTTATAGCTGAATAATATTCCATTGTTTTTATATACACATTTTCTAGTTGTTTCCATAACTGCCTATTGTAAATAATGCTGCAGTGAACATGGGGGTGCATATATCTCTTTTTTTTTCAGATAAATACCTAGAAGTGGAATTGCTAGATCGTACGGTGGTTTTATTTTTATTTTTTTGAGGAACCTCCATACTGTTTTCCTTAGTGGCTGCATCAGTTTATGATCCCACCAACAGTACACAAGGGTTCCCTTTTTCCCACATCCTCACCAACACTTGATAGTTTTTAAATTTTTGACAGTGGCCATTCTGACAGGTGTGAGGCAATATCTCATTTATGGTATTGACTGTAGTTTCCTGACAATTTGTGATACTGAGCATCTTTTCATTTACCTGTTGGCTATTTGAATGTCTTCGTTGGAAAAATGTCTATTTAGATTTCTGCCCTTTTTGTAAAAATAGGATTGTTTGATTTTTGCAATTGAGTTGTATGAATTCTTTCTATATTTTGGCTATTAACCCCTTATCAGCTATATGATTTGCAATTATTTTCTCCCATTCCCTAGGTTGTCTTTTCATGTTGTTGATGGTTTGTTGTGCAGAAGCTTTTTAGTTTGATGTAGACCCACTTGTTCATTTTTGCTTTCAGTGTCACATTAAAAAAATCATTGCCAAGACCTATGTCCAGAAGCTTACCGCCTGTTCTCTTCTAGGAGTTTCATATCTTATGTTCAAGTGTTTAACCCATTTTTAACTAAGTTTGTGTATGGTGTAAGACACTGGTCCAGTTTCATTCTTTTGCATGTGGCTGTGCAGTTTTCCCAACACCATTTATACAAGAGACTGTCCTTTTGCCATTGTATATTCTTGGCTGTTTGGCCATAACTTAATTTACCATATGTGTGTGGGTTTATTTCTGAGCTTTTCCTTACCAGCCTGGGTTCTTCTTGCTTCCAAACAGTTCATTATTCTTCTTCTCACAATAACTAACCAACTTTGGGCATAGTCATCTCTAACCCTCCTTCTAATACTTCCTCTTGTACAGCTGAACTTAGCTGTGCATTTATTTAGTGTTTCTGTGTGTGTAAATATATTTCACAAGTGTTTATTTTCCCTCTCCCTTTGGAAGAGATGCGAAGCCCCTCCAGCAGCACCTTATCTCTGGCTCCTATCTACCACTCTTCCGGTGTCTAACGCTGCAATTCACATGAGGTCAGTCATAACAGACATGAAGAATTGGAAAATGCAATATATGCAGAAAAGATAAAGGCGAGCTTATGATGTCTGGAAAAGATGTCGTGTCCAGATTTAGTGGTGGTCATAAAAAATTGAGACTTTGAGTACAGATAATGCCAATCAGCGTTTTCTCCCTGGAGGACAACATTGGGCTTGAAAGCACTGAAGTCAACTATGAGAATAAATTTCCTGAGAGGGACGGTTGAGCGAAATTAAAATGTGTCTCTTAGAGTGATGCTTCTTAACGTAAGTAAACTTAGAAGAAGGTATTTTGCAGCTATTTAGAGGTAGGCATGCAGTCCTCCGCTTAGAGGAGGTGAGGGTCGAAGGCAGGATC